AGCTTTAACCTGAGCTTTAATCTGACCTTTAGCCTGACCTTTAGCCCCAAACATCAGATGGAGGACGTTAAACATGATCCTGTGGACTTGATGATTCTCTTGTTTTCCTTTCAGGAGTTCACCGGATCCGGATCCCGCCCGGTCGGAAGGTAAAGATCCGTTTTTACCCGATTCTCTGGTTCTGAACATCAGGAACTGAGGAATCTTTAAACATTTCTCCTTGGAAAAAAGGGATTTTTTAAACTCCAAAATGTAGCATTATCAAAACAAATTAAAAATTCATAAAACAAAATGTGATTTTTGTGTGAAAATATCTGCTAGTGCTAACTGTGTTTCAATATCCAGATTTATTTTGTCAATTTTCTGTATCTTGTTGAGAAATTACCTGTAAATTAATTATCTGAGATTTTAGAAACTGCTGGATCGTCTCATATTTTCTTATTGGCAGAAATATTTCATCGTGATGCAGAGCGTCTTTTATCCGGACGAACGCATCAACGCCCGGTGAGTCTGGACCGGTCCTGGTTCTGGTCGGTCCTGGTTCCGGGTCGATCCTGGTTCCGGTCGGGTCCAGTGACGTTGCCTATGTTCTGCAGGTATGACATCAAAGGCTGCCAGGTGAGCCGGTGGACGGACCCGGCGCCGGAGGGCAGCCAGATCATCGTGGTTCTGAAGGACCTGAACTTTGAAGGCCAGTTCATCACGCTGGGTGAGGAAGAGGAGGAGGAGGAAGGTGCAGCGCGCCCTCTGCTGGTCACACAGAGAACTCCTTCTATCCTCCAGAACCGAACCAGTTCAGTCTGAAAAAACCTTCTGGATTCAGGTCTGGACTAGGCCATTCTAACCATGAGTCAGCGTTGATGTAATCCATCCCATAATGTCTCTGGATTATGTCAGAAACCAAAGCTCAGATTTTTAATGGTGAAAAAGTAGAAAGTTCTGCTTCACTGTAAAACATTAAAGTTTGTTTTTAGTTTTTGTGATTAACATGAAAATGTTCCAGAGGTTGGAGATCTGAAAACATCTGCAGCTGGAAATACTTTGATCTGCTGCTTTCATAACTCTGAGACCAAAGGATGAAATCCAAACCGCCTGGTTCCGCTCTGACCCCGGTTCGTGTGTGTGTGTGTGTGTGTGTGTGTGTGTGTGTGTGTGTGTGTGTGTGTGTG